ATAGTGTATTGAATGGTGATCCTGAAAACATATGTACACATCCAAATCCCTGGAACCTGTGAATATTACCCTATGTGGTAAAAGAGGAAATATTACCTTATGTTGCAAAAGATGTGATTAAGAATCTTGAGAAGAGGGGTTTATCCAGAATTATCTGAATGGGCACTAAATGCCATCACTTATATCTTTATAAGACAGACACACAGAAGAGAAGGCAATGTAAAGAAAGAGAGAGAGATTGGAATGCTGTGGCTACAAACCAAGTGACAGTGGGGTTGCCAGCCACCCTTAGAAACTAGGAAGGAGGCATGGAAAGAAATCTACCCTAGAACCCTTGGAGGGAGTGTGGTCCGCTCAGCATCTTGGTTTTGGACTTCTGACCTCCAGAATTGTGAGAGAATACATTTCTCTTTTAAACCACCACATTTGTGGTAGTTTGTACAGCAGCTCCAGGAAACAAATATACCTATTCCATCCTGTGATAACATCTTATGCTGGTATTTAATATTTGCATCCCTGTTTTGACTTTCTTATGAGCTACTGGAGTTAACCACTATGCTTAAAACTTTTCCTTTCAACAGGTATTGATTGAGATTCTACTAGGTGCCAGGTACAATTTTAGGTCCCAAGGTTACAAAACCGATAAAGATCTCATTCCTACCCTCAAAAAAGTCATAATCTTTAGGGGGTAAGGTGGTCTAAGTGAAGCAGGGGCAGGTAAGGAAGATTCCTGGATGAGGTGACATTAAACTGAGTTCCAAATGATGAATTGGGATTAACTAACTCGGCTGGGGGAGTTAGGAGATAGAACAATTTTAGGCAACGAAGACAGCATGAACAAGGTCACAGAACCCAGACCTCATGGTGTGTATCTTGTGTGGGCAGGGATTGGTGGGAACTGCAGCTGGAAAGTTAGGGAATGACCAGATCACTGAGGCCTCATGTTCTTAGAAGAAGGGGAGAAACCAAGTTTTCATCTCAGTTAAACTACTTATAGCAAGTGGTAAGTTTTAACCATATAGTCAGTACTCAGTAGATGTTCCCTGAATGACTCTGCATTAAAATAGATGCAATTTATAATAAAAGATGGTAGCATTGGTATAAAAAATGTTTTCTTACTGGATAGTGTCTAAATCTGTTGGTTATCATCTGTAAGAGTGCAATGAGGATAATTATGGGATATATAAAATTCACAAAGACATGTTTTTAAATACCGAACAGTATAATGGATATTTTACAACCTGCTACCTTTCAGATTGCTTCTATGAGGTCCATAAAGCAAGTTTGTTCGGTGCCATGCATATTAATGAAAAGCCATTTGGAGAGCAGAGGACCCATACAGTGGTGCTGCTGTGAGGACGTGAAGGCGCCTCCCCAAGAACACGTCTTACCTATGGATGACACTCCTGTGCAAGAAGATGGAGAAGCAGAACTTCAAATGGTGGCAGTGAAACCTAAAGCCACAGGGGGCCTCGGAGGGAGCCTATCAGAGACTCAAAATGGAGATGTGTCAGAAGAAACAGTGGGAGGTGGAAAAGTTAAAAAAAAAAAAATCCCTGAAACGTTTTATGATTGTGGGCTTGTCAGAAACCCCAAATGGAGACATGTCTAAAGAAATAGTAGAAAATGTAAAAGTTAAAGAAAACTAGAAATCTACCATATTAACCAGTGCAGAAACAGCAATGCAGTCTTTAGATTCAGAACCAAAAAAGAAAAGGAGAACAAGAGAAAAATAGTGACTAATGCTGGGCGTGATACAAAAAAAAAGCCAAAACTGAAAACAAAGGGGAATCCAAAGAAGATGATATCGAGGCTCTTGAAGAAACAGAAAACTAGGGGGAAGCCAGACAATGAGAGGGATGAGGATACTGCATTTGCTTCTCTAATTTTGTCAGTGAAAACACTTTGAAGGCAATAAAAGAAATGGGCTTTACCAACATGACTGAAATTCAGCCTAAAAATGATGGGCCACTTATGGAAGGCAGGATCTTCCAGCAGCTACACAAACCAGCAGTGGCAAAAACCCTGGCATTTCTCATCCCTGCATTTGAACTCATTGTTAAGTTAAAGCTATGTTTTCCAGGCTAGTCTTGAACTCATTGATTCTCATCCCAAAGTGTGAGGATTACAAGCGTGAGCCACAGCACTCAGCCCAGCTTCTTTTTATTATGAAAAATGAGAGCTTATTCGTGAGAGGACAACAGGTTTCATTGTTCACCCGGTCTGTCTACTGTAATGAAAGCTGAAAGCTGGAGATGTTATTTAGGCAATGAGACACAATACTGCTGTCACTAGCATTGGTGAGCTGTCCCCACATGGTATGATTATGATTTTCATGTTGTTAGCATTAAGTCCTCAGCAACAGGATAAAGTGGGAAAGCAGGTGTCAGGTGAGAACTCTGTCCTAGCAAGGAATATCCAGTTGGTTGGTATGAATGCAATTAAGTACTTCCTGTCACTGGATCATATCATTAGGACTCTGCTCACCTGATCTGTGATACAAGCTGAAATCAACTATGCTGTGAAAACTTTTTCAAATTTTGTCATTTTAGCAAATTAGAAAATATTCTCTATACGTAAAAATCTCCAGGTGAGCATTTTAAAGTGAAGTGGGCAAATTCCTAAGAAATGTTTCCTGGGTATCTGTTGTTTTATGTTTTGACAAAAACAAAGGAGATGTACTTTCAGCTCACAAAGGGCTTAAAGTTTTGTTGGGAGAGAAAATGATAAAGACACATGACAAAAGTATATACTTTTTTTTTCTTCAGAGACAGGGCCTTGCTCTGTGCCCAGGCTGGAGCGCAGTGCTGTTATCATTGTTCACTGCAGCCTTGAACTCCTAGGCTCATGCCATCCTCCCATCTCAGCTCCCCCAAAGCACTGAGATTACAGGTGAAAACCACTGGGCCCGGCCCCCAAATACATAATTTTTGGAGCATGTTGTGATACTTGGAAGTCCCTAAGTGGAAAGTCATATTGAGCAACCAATTAAAAGGTGATAAAGAGTTGGCACTTGCATCTGACTCCGACTTGGAGCACCAGATTTGAATTGGTGTGCAGGAAAAATGGTTTGAGTGGAGGGGCAGTGTGGGATTAAAAACAGATGAGCATGTTTAGGGACCGAAAGGAGACCCACTTGACTGGAGCAGTGGATTCATGTTTCAGAGCACTGGGATGTTTTGGATACATAAGTTGGATCCAGATTGCTAAAGGTCTTGCTTTAGATTTTGGTTGCTGCCATAACAAATTATCACAAATGTAGTAGTTTAAGATGACACAAATTTATTATCTTATAGTTCTCTGGGCCTGAAGTCTAGTGGACTCAACTGGTTTCCCTGCTTGGAATTCATAAGACGAACTTGAAAGTGTTGGTGCAGTTGTGCTCTGGAGGAGAATCTGCATCTATGCTCATTTAGGTTGTTGGCAGAATTCAGTTCTATGTAGTTACAGGACTGAGGTCTCTGTTTCCTTGCTAGCTGTTGAATGGTGGTGGTTCTTAGCTTTAGGAGGCCACCTGCCTTCTTCACTCATGGATCCCTTGTTCCATCTTCAAAGCTGGCAAGGGTGGTTTGAGTCTTTGTCTTACTTTAAATCACTGCAGTGCCTCACTCATCTGCTGCATCACCCTGATTCTTCTGCCTCTCTCTTCCACTCTTAAGGGCCCTTGTGATTACACTGGTCCCAACTAAAGAATACAGGATAATCTCCTAATCTCTGTTTTAAGGTTCAGAACCTTACTTCTATCTGCAAAGTTCCTTTTGCCATGTCATGTAACATATTCGTGGGTTCCAGGGACTAAGGGCCAAGCTGAGAAGTTTGAATGTGAGACAGAAGGTAATGGAGAAGCACTGTAGATTCTTGAACAGAGGAAGGGTATGTAGGTACACAGGACAGGCTGATGATATGACATACCTTCAAACCAGAATTATTTAATTATTCATGTAACATTTATGTAGAGGAGAGACTAAGCAAGACATAGGGAAGAGATGAGAAGGAGAACTACTGGCGGCTGTTTTTGATCTCTCTTTATTAGACCCAAGCAAATTGACTCAAACTTGAAAACTCTACTCAGTAGAGGAAGATCCCTATAGTGAATTGTACTTACCTTCCTTCAGGGCAGTTTAGCCAACACCCTTGTGGGAGGCTGGCTCATCCTTCCCCTGACTTACGTGGTTTATGAAAGTATTCCCTCTAAACATTTGCAGAGGAGTTCTAAAGTAAATATTCTTTATCTCACTATCTTTTCAGTGAAGCTTCAGCCCCCTTTTATAGATGGGCATCTTAGGCCACCACCCCACTGTGCCCCCCAGCCCTAAGCTGTTTCTGAGGATATTCATCATTTTATTCATTCATGAGCATTTGCTATGTGCAAGTACTGATCCAGGTGCTGGGGCTACTGCAGTGAACAAAGTCCCTTTGCTCCTGGAACTTACCTTCGAGTGGGAGAAGAAAGTCAGGAATCAAACAAATATACATCAGATGATGCAAATATGAAGCAACTAAGTAGGTTAGGAGGACAGAGAGTGGTGGGTGAAGATGGAAGGTAACGTTGGAGGAGACACTTAAAAGAAGTGAAGGGTTAAGCCACATGGCCATCTGGTGTAAGAGTGTTTAAGGCAGAGGAAATAGCAAATGCAATGACTGTGAGAAGGGGACATGCTTGGGACATTCATGGAGAATAAATGGGTCTTAAAGACTACACATTGGGTACACTGCTTAGGTGATGGGTGCACCAAAATCTCAGAAATGACCACTAGAGAACTTATTCATGTAACCAAACACCACCTGTTCCCCAAAAACCTATTGAAATAAAAATTAAAAAAAATAAGTTGATCTAAATGGCTGGAGCAGAGTGAGTGAGGGGAGAGGAGTGTTTGGAAAGGAGGTCAGAGAGGTGGCGGGCAGTGCTGTAGTAAAGTCGTCTGTCATTGGTCCACATTAAGCAACATTCTAAAATTGGGCCTGCATGTTCTCACACACTGTTTACTCCAAAACTTCAATCTGATTACCATACAGAAGGATTTATTTGTCTCAAGATATTTGGACCAAAGAACAAAATAGCATATTTCAAGTTCTGGGTATAGATTGCTGTGAAAAATTAACTTACATGCATTTATTGACTATTGTTTATGACATAAACAAAGCTGCTCTTCTTCTATAATAAGAAGAGTTGGTAATACTGTACCTTTATTTTCCACCCTCTATATTATTATACAATAAAATAGTTGAATATATAATATACTGCCGAGAGGGTAATGAGCAGGATTCAATCACACATTTAAATGAACTTTTAAGAAATCTGAACCATGTCCAAGTTCTTCCATCTAAGCATCACTTAAGAATCTGTTTGTTCAGTTGAGTTTCATCTCTGCAGCTGCCAAGGCACTTCAGTTCTGCCAGCTCGACTCTCTGATTGCAAAATAAAGGGTGGTCACTTAACAGTGGATGTGAAGAATAAGAATGTTCTGTGAAAAGAACGACATTATGAGAAACCCTAATAATGGAAGACTGGAGGCTTCCCTCTGGTCCCCCCGTTAGCCTGAAGGCAGTTAAATGGGAGGATATTCTCACCTTCCCTGAATCTCAGCAGCCTTTGGCGGGGTATGTGTGCTTTTGGAAGATGGATGCACTTTGCTGCAGCTTACATTCATAAATATTTTTGTAGTATAATAGGTTGTCAAAACAAATCTGTTTTCCATTTGTGTGTGTGTGAGTGTGTCAGTATGCCTCTTCATCTTTTTGTCCATCTAGAAGTAGAGTACAAATAGTTTACTTTCCTCATTATGGATTTTTCATTACAGTATAGATTTTTGCAAAAGTGAGTCATGAGGAATAGGTAAACAAATGGCCATATAATCAGTGGGAACAGTTTCTGTATCTTGTTTTAACAGTTCCATGTCTTTGCTGGAAATCTGTGGTTCTTTTAAAGCAGTTTTTGATGGAAAATCCTATCTGAAGCTTGGCAGTAACTGTGTCATTGAGCTGGGGAGGGAAGGCAAGGTGGTCTTGTTGACAACACAATTGTGCCTGTGGAAATGCAGCATTGTGTTCAGAGGACAGGCACCAAGTTTCATAAAACTTCATCACCTGTTAGCTGTGTGACTTTAAGTGATCTGCTTAACTTCTCTGAGACTCCATGTTTTATTTTGTAAAATGAGGAAAACAATGCTTACATCCTGGAGTGGTTGTGAGAATTACATGAGGTAATGTAAGTGTAGTGCTTAGTGTAGTGCCTGCACCTGCTAAATGCTCTATAAATGGTAGCCATTTTTACTATCATTTTTCTTTGGCTTATTTCATTCTGATGGCATAGCATGTAGACTTGGCATAAAGCAGCAGTCTTTCTGGTGCATGGAAATGTAGTTGCTTAGAGGCTAGCACATCAAACCCTGAAACTCAGTGTATATCCTCCTTCGAATTTTTCACAATATTTTTCTCTCTTCAAGGAAACCTGGACAAAACATTTTGCTGCTTGCTGCCTGAATTGACCAGCGATTCTAGTTTCCAAGGAGATTATAAATGGATGTATTTGTGTATGCTGATTTGCCTCAACTTTAGAACAGTTCCTCAGGGAATTCTTCAAAAGAAACAGAACATAATGGAAATGCATTTATTTTTTCATAAGCCATGGAAAATGGTTTGTGTGTGAATCCTTAGTGATCTAAAAGTTACTTAGAAGTGGTCAGGCAAATGGAAAGATTTGCTAATGAAAGATTTATCTCCCCATGACTGCAATTTTATACATCCTTTCAGATTAATTTATCTGGATCTTTTTCTATTTAGAAAAACATTTAGTGCAATTTGGAATTGTAATTAGGATATTCTATACCATCTGCAGTGCTTGATGTAATTCTCTAGCTTCACTATGGTTACATCACAAAGGAGGCTAGAGTTAAGTCTGCTTTTTTACTCTAGAAAACCCAACAGCACCCACACAATGGCTATCCTTGATAAGTATTCAATATTGGTTAATTGATATTAAAGTTTTACTCCTGGTGCAGGTTCCATTAGTGCTTGTGGTGAAAAATTGCACATTAGTATCTTAAAAATTATGGATTGATGGACAGAGGATGCCACTTTCAAAGGCTCTTGGTTCTAATTCTAGATAGCCCATATGACATTAACCCAGGCCTCTCTTAGTCTCTCTGTTTTTATTCCATCAATTGTCAGATGGGATAATAAAACTGATATAGCTTCTAGTGTTTTAAGGAGAGTTATTGCTGTTGGTTTTTTGCATATCTGAATGTTGAAAATTTTAATTTAGAGGTCAATATCATTCTTTTCACAGAACACTTATTTTTCACATCCACTATTAAGTGGCCACCCTTTATTTTGCAATCAGAGAGTTGAACTGGCAGAATTTAAGTGCCTTAGGTCCAGGCTTGTTTGATTGATTCATTAATTCATCACTCATCATGTATTCGTGCAGCAGTGAGTGGCACAGTGTGGTGTAAAGGACATAAGCTTTAGAGTCAAGACTTGGGTTTGCATCCAAGCTCTCTTACTAATTTCATGATCTTGGTAAAATTACTTTACCTTTATGAATTTCCATACTGACATCTGTGAACATAGGTGGTTGCAGTGATTACAGAAGAATAAAGAGGTGAAATGCCTGCACAGTACGTATTGCTTGTAGATAAGAGGTGCTCTACTTCCCTCCTACTGTGCACATTGGCATCCCATGGAACAGATTGACAGTCGTTACTGTTTAGAGAGTTTACAATCTAAATGAGGAACATGTAAAAAGGAATAATTATAACATTAAGATTTGGCAACAACCATCCTGGTCTTATTAAAAAATGAGTCTGTGGATAGTTTGAGTGAAAACAGTGAGTAAAAACCAGCGTTCAAGAAGAGATTCTAAATGAAACATGATTGGCAGCCAAACTCCTTAACTTCTGATACTGGATCTGCCTTTGCCAATGCTTTCTTCATCAATGGCTAAGTTGCAATGAGACCACAAAAGTGAAATCTCTCATACCTGCTTGTTGATCAAGGAGATTATGTTTAGCTATATGTGAGTTGTACTAGATTAAGTATTAGTAAAGAGTTTCTTTTCTCAGCTTCTCCTAAATAGATTAAGTGGCACATTAATGTGCTTTTAATTCCATTATCTTTAATATTTTTCATTCAAAATATATGTAATGGATTGGGAGTGCTGGGGGATGTACCCAGCCCCCACAAGCAGATTTGTTACCACCCCATCTGCCACCCCAAATGCTAAATCCCAGGAACACCACTGCTTTGCAGTATGTTCTATTTTACAAGACTCTGAGGAAAGAGAAACACAGAAAGACAGTGACAATCACTGCAGGGTTAGAAAGACAGAGAGCATAAGGTTAGAGCTAAAACTTCTAAAAAGCAAATGGAGTGTTGGAAAAAAGGAACAGAGGGAAGAATTGAATACATTTACCAGGGAATTAATGAATAGGCTAAAGGTATTTATGCAGGCAGAGAGCATATGGAAAAGGGGGAAATGAATCATGGAAGAAGGCAGCAAGTCTTATCACATGAGTTTTTTCATCTTGAGAAGTGTGTGTGTGTGTGTGTGTGTGTGTGTGTGTGTCTGGAAGGAAAAACAGTTACTAAGTCCAGTCCATACCACAGGAGAGAGGAAAAAAGTGTCTACCATGAGGTTGTCATGATAGTTAATGTGTTCTAAAGTGTTACATCTGAGCTACACCTTGTAGAGGACTTCTGTAGCAACTGTAAAGAGAAAGCCATAGAGCAAGGGGAAGGGCTGTGGAGAACTGAGATCTGTATGAATACAGTAAGCTTCTCCACTTGCTGGCACTTTTATTGCCCCCTCCTCCTTCCTGGTTTCAACACTTGCTGTTATGCCCAGTGATTGGTGTTGCCAAGGCCCAAATAGCTTCCGGTATTGGTATGTCCTATAAGAATGACTGCAGAGAAATGGGAGGCTTGGAGAGATTGGGGGATTTTGAAAGGCTATGGGTTTGAAAACTTCTGCAGCTTGAGGCTGTAGAGATAGGGATGGGAAGACAAACTTGTTCCTAAGTGTTTCTGATGAAGAATGTCTTGGCTAGACGTGGTGTCTCACGCCTGTAATCCTAACCCTTTGGGAGGCTGAGGAGGGTGAATGGCTTCAGCTCAGGTGTTTGAGACCAGCCTGGGCAACATGGTAAAACTGCATCTACAAAAAATACAAAAAGTAGCTGGGTGTGGTGGTGCATGCCTGCAGTGTCAGCAACTTGGGAGGCTGAGGCAGGAGGATCGCTTGAGCTCAGGAGGTTAAGCTTTCAGTGAACCAAGATTGCACCACTGCACTCCAGCCTAGGTGACAGAGTGAGACCCTGCCCACCCCCCCTCCCCCCAACACACACACAGAATATCTTGCCTCATTAAATGTAATTGTAACACTGGGGACAGGGTTCAGGAGAGCATGTGGTACAAGTGAGTGTGGGAAGCAATTAAGCACATGGGAGGAGCCTAAGAATAATGCAGAAAAAAAATGCCAAATAGGATCAAAAGCAGTTGAAAAAATTGGCTGATCCTGGATGATAAAAGAAAAGGCTCTAAGAAGGTAGGTGTATCTGAGGCCAGAGGATGGCCAGCAGTGGAACTGCCCTGCCAGTCTACAGTGGAGCCACCTGAAGTGAGAGCTGAGCGGCCAGCACAAGGCCAGGGGTCAGGGCAGTGACATCTGTACTAACCCCACGGGCTAGGCTTGGGTTGTGCCTGCAGGGACAGGGCCTGGAATTGAACTCCCCCGCAGGGTGATCTCTACACAGATGCCTGAGTGAGGCCTGTGTACTGGCACTATGCTCCCTGCTCAAAGCTCATATGTGGAAATTATAATCCAGCAGATTATTTTTGAAATCTTGAAAAATCTCCTCACCATAATAAGTTCATAGCTAAAAACCTCCAGATAGATAGGAAAGCACAATTTCAAAAAAGAACTTACATCTAAGGAAGTAAAAATCAAAAGGGTAATTTAAAAAATGTAAATACATTTAATAACTTCAAAGAGATAAAGAGGTGAAAGTATCTATACATAGACATATAGATAGCTATATAGATACATAAAATATGATGCTATAAATCAAGAATGGGTTATTATGGTTATTATGGAAAAGAACCAATTAGAAATAATGACAATAAAAAATAAGGTTGTTGATATAACAAGACTCGACATAGTGAACTAGACATAACTGAAGAGTCAATCAGTGAATCATAAAATTGTGTTGAAATATTAGTTTTATCTGATATTGAGTGCTTATTTTGTGCCTGACATTATTGTAAGCATTTAATATGTATAATTTCATTTAATCCTTGCAAGAATGATATAAAGTAGGTTCTCTTTTCATTCCCAATTAATTGATTAGGAAATTAAGGTCAAGAGGATAAGTAATTTGTCAAAAGTCACACAACTAGTCTTGAATCTAAAAAGAGCCCTTGTGTTTAACCATTGCACTATAACACTAACTCCCAAGATTTCTCAAGACGCAGCACAAATAAAGAGATAGAAACTAAAGGAGGAAAAGTTAAGAGGGGATAAATTCCAGAAATAATGAATAAAAATCTATCTTTTAACAAATCCACAGGTGATTTATAAGCATTTTAAAGATTGAGAGCTTTGTTCATTCCCAAGTCTGTTTTCTTAAGATAGTAATGAACAAAGCTCTTCTCTCATCCTCTAGTGGATGCTTCTCTGAACAGTGACTCGGATTCTGGGAGAATTCGACAAGGGAAGCTCACTATTCAGCAGTCCCTAGGGCAATTTGGCAGCATAGATCTTCTAAATGCCAATTCTAAATGATCACTAGTGGTGGTCTGAAGCTATGTTGAGAAGGATTCTGAGGCTACATCTGGCCATAGCAGGAAAGAGTACTATAATTAGTGATATGTGTCATGGGCAAGGGAAGGGGTAACATGGGGGAGGGTTAGCAGTATGTGGCCATATATTTGGCCTGGAGAGAACCCCATCTGCTAACCATCTTCGGAGGCCAATGAAGGACAGGATTAGGACAGCAATGAGCAGATAGTGAGGACCAGTTCTTTTACAGAGATCTCAAATGCTAGGTTACCGAATTTTCTGAAGACTACCTTTGTTTTGAGGTGACATAAGTAAATTATTTTTGTACAAACATGGGCTTGAGACCTTCTCAAACCTGTATATTTCAATATCTAGTACTCAAGAGGACCTAATAGGACAAGCTGATTGGGGAACATCTACACCAGTGTTCAAACTTCCAGTGAGGAAAGTAACATGTTATCTAATCCAAATCTCTCATGTTTTAATTTATTCTGCAAAATATAAAAATGGCAAATTCTTATGCTTATCAGGCTGCCCCTGAAGACATGGATGTAGGGACTAAGAACCTTAAAGCTCACACAGGGAGTGGAGCTGAGTTGGTCCAGAATGGTAAGCTGCACTTGCCTGCTGGGCTGCAGCAGGGAGATGAAGTACCCTGATCACTCTTGTCTTGATTCTGAGTCCAGCCAACACTGCCTTTGAAAGTGATGAGGATATGCATTCGTTGCCATAGACTAAAGGAGAAATGTCCTGTAAAAAGAATTCTTGCACTTGTAGACATTCTAAAGTCTCTATGGTAATATCTTTTCCAGTCTGTTTGCACTGTGAGGGGGAGAGGAAACTGCACTGAAGAGGAAACTGAGGCATACTCAGCTGTCAGACATGGAGCTAAGAATACACATAGCCTTCTAATTATAAGTCATGCTAACCAGTTTGCTCTTGATTGCCTTCAAGGTAAAAGTACAAAGGATTTATGGACAAAATCATCTCTTTATGTGGTACTCCTAAGGTATTTAGCATAGTCCTGGCATCTAGAAAGTGCCATGATATCTGACTATTGTCTCAGAAAGTGACTTTTTTTTTTTTTTTTTTTTTAAAAAAACTACAGTAGCCATCACAATCTAGGGATGTTTGGGATTCAGATAGGTTGTTTTCCCTTCTCCCTTGAGCTCAATCTGGTCAGTAGGAAAGGAAATTTGACCACGATGCATCCTTAAGGAAATCTTCCATAAAAAGACATGCCATAAAGACTTAAGCACATGGCAGAAATTAGTATAGATTCATTTTCAGAAAGTTTATGACAGTTAAGGATGTGGGAACTGGAGGACTCAGGATAATTGAATCAGGCTGTGATGTACTGAGAATCATTTGTGGTTTTGGTGGCAGTAAATGTGCTAGTAAGACCAAACCAGTCAAAACTAACTGTAGTGGGCCTATTATTTGCAGGAAATAGGTTCCCACAAGAAGCCCTTGATGAACAAGTAGCTTAATGATAACCTAAAAACCCACAGACTTTAGCCTGAGGTCAAAGATACTTACTAACAGCCAGTTCTTGGTCTTGACATTAAAGGAAAGAAAATATCTGAAAATCAAGAGAGGAATTCACTAGATTAGTGAAGGAGGCCAATTAACCCACTTTGCAACCAAAATTAAACAAAACCAGACAAGAACAAAAACACCATGCCCAGAAAGTTGAGAAAAAAGAAAATTAACATAAGTGTATCAGGCTTTGTGAAACTTTGGAGCATTCTAGGAAGGAAATGATATGGACTGTCACCAGCTAATTACTAGACAGAATCTGCTGCCAGCATCGGGGAAACAGAACCAAGGAGGAATCAATCTCCCCTCCATGAAGTGCTAATTTCAAAGCCCAATTAGGTTTCCACAGCCTTGATTTCTTGGCTATGGACAAAGTGTGTGGTGTTCTCATTCTTTTCCATGCT